TTAGCCTTTATTTGTGTAGCTTTTAACAAAGCCGACTTAATCCTTGCTGTGACTTGACTCATAGGCGTAATTAAATGTCTAATTTCTCTCAGCTCTATGTGAAGGACCAACCCAAGGAGTAGTAGTGGAGTAGTATGTCACAAGATTTGAGTCTTATGGGAAGTCAGCATTTGTACTGTATTACTTTGTACTACACTAGTTTTGCACACTTGCCACATAGCGACACTGTAACCTGAAAACTACGCCTAAGTCAATTCAGTGTTAATTTGAAAGTCATATAAAGCCTTATAAACGTGAGTGACCAGCCTCCACCTGACTGATAGCAAATAATAAAAGTATAAATTTAAAAAATCCATACGCTTGTTTTCAGATGAGCCTGGATCTTTCATTAGTTACTGAAATCATCTTAGAGGCCTCAGTTTGGTCAGCCATTATTAGGGTATATGGTGTGGTCTCAGCTTTGGGCTACTCTGGTTCGATTAAAAAAAGACAGCACTATCTGATCAGTTCTGTAGATGTTTGCTTAACAGGAAGAAGCTAAATTGAAACTCTATAAAGTTGCCTCCCCTCCACATGTCCTCTGGAAACCACACCTCACCATCTGCTTTCAAACTTTTCATCCGTCAGTGGCGTTTAAGGAGTTTGGACAAGAAGCCAGAAGAGGCGGGACTGTCGGTCTGCACCTCTTCTTTGGCTTTGGCCTTCTCTCCGAGGCCAAGCTCCCCCTCCAATTGCTCCAACTCTGACTGGTCCAGCAGCTCAAAGTCCTCCACCTCGCTGTCCGACTCCTCGGTCAGCTCCAGCAGCCTGCTCGATTCTGTGAGTCCCGCCCGCTTGGGGTCTTCAGTTGGCGTCATGAAGCTGACTGCTGCTTCTATTCTCTCCTGGATGGCAGCTGTGACTGCAGCGGTGATAACTTCACCTGCCATCTGGTTGACCAAATCGAGGGCATTGGTGGACTGGTCTTGAGGTTCGTGCTTGGATTTGATTGGATCCTGGAGCCGAGTTGGAGGTGAAGCAAGGCCGAGGCTGAGGTCGTCGTCGTCGTCGCCATTGGTGGTCATGCCATTATCAAGTGAAGGGAATTCAAGTAGGCCACCAATGAACGGTTCTTCTCTGTCAAAGTCTGATCAAAGTGGCCCCGACACAAAAAGGAAGAAACACCAGTTACCTAAATATGTGAGACACAAAGTAGCTCTCGGCGTCAGTCAGAAGAGCGTCAAATGAAACTTACCCTCTGAGTTCTCAGTCTGTGGTGTGTGTCCCTCTGACAGGTTGAAAGTACCATTGTCTGTCCATGTGACATCTGACACCTCTGTGTCCGAGACAGACATCTCTTTACACACTGTGGAGTCGAGCTGGGGGAGAGAGACACACGCAGACGTCAGATTTTATAGTGCAAACCCAGATCTGAGCTGGTAATTGGTTGACTCAGACAAAGTGGTGACATCCGGGACTAAAAGATGAAGCCGCATAACAACTAAGTGCATGAAACTGCAGAATCCTGAAGTCACTTGAGGCTTACAAGGCATACAACACATTCTTTCTGCATTGCATTCATTATATTTGCACAGTGATTTGAACGCTCTAATAGTGAGCGTGACAGGGAAGTGCACTCAGTGAATTCAACCAGCAGCTCAGTGTTTGGCATGAGGAGAAAAACTTTAAAGCATTTCTTGCCATTGAATTTGTCCCATGCTGATGGTGATGTGGATCATGTGTACTGAATTTTACTAGCTTTAACTGGATGCTATCAGTCAACAGAGGCATAATTACATTAAGATGAGAAGATGATTAGCCAACCTTTGGAAACATAGAGGAGAGGTCTGACTCAATGCCTTCTTTCTCATTCTGAGCCTGCAGGAGTCGCTTTTCTGAAAGAAAAAAAAAAGAAAAACACGGATAAGACTGATTTAGTTCTCTGGCAAAATACTGGATAAAAAAGGTAAACTGATTTTTACATGATAACAAATCTTTTTAATGTTTACTCGCTATTTAAATAAGCATTTTTATAAAAAATCTACTCCACATTCAGTGTACATTTCTACAATAGTTCCTACATGCTATGCAGCATTTCACAATAATGTCAAATCTAGGTCAAGCCGTGACCTTAATGTCAATTTACCTGCACACTTAACTTTGGGTCAAATGAAAAAACAGTCTTAATGAACTGCAGAGCAGAAACGACAGACCCTTACATTATGCTTGTTATGTGTTGTTGAGATATATGGCTCATATTGCATATGCCAAAGGTGGCATTTAGCAGTTGCAACAAAACTTCAGTTCAAGTTTTTAAAGATTTGTTCTGGTTAGGTCTACATAATAGAAAAATAAAGGTCATATAGGTTTGCAGCAGTTTGGCAGGTAGTTGTCTTAAAAAAAAAACCACATGGTGAGTCACTTCCTGATCTCATGTCCTTGTTTGGATAATGAGTAAAAACAAATTGCATGATATTTACC